ATCTTGACCAACATACCTGTGTCAATGCACTCACACATTCAGTGTCTATTCTCTTGTCTGTATTGAATTTCCAGCTCAACAGCTTGCTGGAAGATTCTCTGCCAGGCTTTCACACTCCAAAGGTGTCAGGTGAAATACATCAAACTGTGCTCAGCAACACTCACACTTTCAAAAACTGTGCTTGCTTAATCTTCTATTGCTGTGTTGCTTGATGGTATTTTGAATCTGCAACCATCACCACCTCAATCCTGGTGCAGGTTACAAAGGTCAAACTAAAACAGACCAAAAACATGGGCGGACAATGACAATTTTTTTTTTTTTTTATGATTTTGACTTAATGAATGTTTAAGTCATTACATGGATATCAGACCTTGCATCTCCACAGGCCTACAATCAAATTAAACATTCTAGAAAATGAGAAAAATGGGGAAATTGTTGACTAAAATCTGTAAATTTAGAGTTAATTTTCCTAATCAAAAATCAAGGCCACCTGATAACAGCCCAGCAAAGTCTGGGGATTCATTGAATTTACAATTACACAAATTACAGGTATACTGTTGATTTCTCCTGCTTCGATTTTGATGTATTGATTAATTGCTATTGGGAGCAGCAGAATAAAATGTAATAGTCCTCCAATCCCACAGGAATCCCCCAGAACTCATCCCCATCATCCCTGCTTGATAAAGTAATATTCAAGCAGGAAAGTGCTCTGTAGGTGGAAGTAAGTTTATACTCGTAGGCTGAATTAAATGACAGCATTCATTAATTCAGTTTAAAAACTTCAATAAGAAAGGGAACAATTTGGCCTCCCTTCTGTTTTATCATTATTTATTTATTTATTTTTTTTTTTTTTTGCAGGGGGGTCCATGCCTTTACTGAAGGACTAATGTTGAGGGTGCCATTTAAAATACACCAGGTGAATAAAGGAGATCTTTTATGCCTTCATATGGGCCATCTTGTGACTTTTGCTTTATTTCCTTGATCCTTGTTTTGTTTCCTTTTGGGTTGCAGCATCCTGCATAAATAAACCTGGGATAAACTCAATGTAAACATTTAAGTCAAGTCCTAAATGTACTTTAGTTTCTAGTTTTCCCTAAATTACTTCTACAGTGAGTAAATGTTTCACTTGGACAAATTCATGGTTTAAATCCATCACACCTCAATGTGGGGAGGATCCAGCCTGTTCAGTTAGTGAGCAACTACTCAAACAATGAAATGGAGGATGAAGTAACAATTGAAGAGGCAGACCAGTATTTCTAGCTGCATTAGTCTGTCTTTTCAGAAGACGTGGCTAAATAAATAGACATTGTAAAACAGGAAATCAGACAATCAAGTGATCATGTCTGGGGAAGTGAACAAAGAGTACAAACTGCAGCAAACATTTTAACAAAATAAGTAGCCCCATTTTGAACTAACCTGATGCAATAATCAAATATAAAAGAATTTCAGACATAAAATATATTCGGCTTTGTATTTTTAATTAACCCTCTCTTTCACCTGATAATGTACAAGTTCTAGGTTTTCAGGTTGCTGTAACACTGATAAAGAGTGTCATATTCAAATAAGTTCCTCAAACTAACAGCCATTACCAAACCTTGTGGAACATGGCAACATGTCAGCTCAAAGCCACTCAACACATCTGCCATTTCACACCGTCAGAAAGATGTCACAAGTCACTTCTCTACATTTGACAGCTCTCTTATGATATGTGCCCAGCAACTGTTGATGATGACAGGATGGTGATCTGCCTTGGTCAGTAACTCACTCCCAAACCTCCCAGACTTTTACAGCCATTTACAGCTTAGTTTGCAACTAGTGTAAAAAGGCCGTGCTTTCCAACTTTCCAACTTTCCAAGTCAAGTAAATCATCATAAAGCTAACTTGATATAAAATAATAAAATAAATAGCTCCATTCCAGTCAAGCAGTCTTTCTGTAGTAACAAGCTGAGAATGAGAGAATATCTGCTTTTGGCAAAGAGCATGTTCACTAATCAGATCAAAATATACACTTTCTCTGACAGGAACAGAGGCAGTCATGTCAACACTCAGTCTGTCCTCATGTCCGGTGCCATTTTGTCCTGTATCTTGAGACCCGACACCAAAGGCTTTCTATACATGGCCTTTAAAACAGACCCCGTTTGTGTGGACATATCCATTCACGACCCTTGGCCTACAAACCGAGTTAAGCACTTGTCATGACCCCAAACTTTTTTTCTTCTGCCCCTAAATCCTCCCTAGATGCTGTGGGATGAGTAAAGGCCCATTCATGACCAACAACAGCACTACAGTGTAACAACACATGGGGCTGTGTTGGTACAGGCGCGTTGCTAAAGGGTACACAAACAAGGCATACTATGAAGTTCAGTTTGAGGGTTATTAATCACCAAGATACTGCATTTTGGTTTATACTCTTATGAGTGTACAACTGTGACAGGTTACCACTGCAGGAGTTTATCTCTCTTCCATCTTCATGTGGCTTGTGGCACAATGCTGCACACTACACACTTCAAGGTATTCTACCAGATGTGTACAAATGCAAGTATATGATTGGCCAACACAATGTGTTGTTGAATTATGTTGCACTGTGCTGTGGCAAAATTACAGGTAGGTCTAACTTTTTTTTGATAAACTACTGTTTTTACTTGCCAAGGTGCTCTGCAGAGGCCAACACAGTGGTTTCATTGAATTGAAGTCTGCTTATATCGAAGGTTAGTACTGTATGTTTGTATAAGCTTGTGTTATACCAATATGTCCCGTGTGTGCGCACATGTGGGGAAGATAGTCAGACTTACATAATCAACAGTATTGTTTCTGACCTCTGTTCCAGGTAAAGGTGTAGCCTTAAGAATATACATGTGTCACTTTGTGTGTGTGGATTTATTTGCCCACACCCACCTACCTACGTACCAGTCTACCTGATAATTTGCTTTCCTGTACACTCTAATGGAAGCATTGATCCACGGTGTGAGACTAACCATCACACACACACGCACTGACACGTGCAATGAGATCATGGTATAAACAGACAACTTCCGTCAGCATTTTATTTTGTACAAGGAGCAATAGCAGACAAAATCTTTTAACCTTTGAGTCTCCAACACCAAGAGGTTTTCCTATTGGCTGGTGAGAGCAGATCTACAGTCAGCTTGGCTTTACAGCTGCTGTTTACACACCTGGGTTAGGATTTCAGTGTTTCAGGTACAAAACAGTTTTGGTTTTGACAAAGTGGTGCAGCTCTTGTGACAGGTTGAAAAAAACAAAACAAAAAAAAACCAGACTCCCCACTTAACTTTTATTATTTTATATTTCTTTAATAGCCTCTGTAAAACTAATGTTAACTAATTTTTCATAAAGGTTTTAGCCAAATGCTTTTCATGTGTTTAAAATTGCTTTATTTATGCTGCTACAGTCATCAAAGCTACTGACCAACTGCTAAAACAATGTATCACCACAGCTACATTAATATACCTATAGACACTCAAGCAACACAAATATAGAAATGGGTTAAGCTCCACACACGCACTGAGAGCATGTACTGGCTGCACTGTCAAGATGTAGCCGTATAAATTTTTCCATTCAATGGTATAGGAGATTTTTCATTTAAGGAGACATACCACATGATGCTTGTCAACAGCTGCCCAAGTAATGCAAGTCATGGTCTGCATAGGAAACTATAATGGTTTGCATGTGCACATGTGTAGCGTCTTCACAATTACAGCGAATCTACAAATAAAACTGTCTACAGAATTAAGACAGATACTGTAGTCTTGGAAGCAGGGGCTTTGTCCCAGCTTTCTGATAATGATTTACAATGCACAGCCAAGGGGTTTCTTTGGCTTTCAAACTTTTAAGCATGCTACAAAAGCATTTCTGTATTCAACTGAATGGAAACATGAAACTCTGAATCTGCTTGTTTCTAAAAATTCTTTGCAATTTTGACACATGTATTGATGAATCAGTATTTATAGTTTGATTAGGAGGCCTCTGGTCTGTGGATATCATTAGTTTTAGGGCTAATAAAGATGTGTGCTGTTTATATGTGCCTTCAATGCCTGCTGAACCCAGAAATGGCAGCTCCAAGTGAACATCTGGGAGAACATTTGAACAACACATCTGAATTTAAGTCTACCTCAGTTCTAGGAGTGCTCTAAACCTCTTTGTGCACAATTTATTTATCACTCACTGAACAATAAATTGTGTTGCTTACACCAAAAACTGAGAAAGTCCATTTTCTATGATCACACAGCCACCAGAGCTTCTTCATAACAAACACAAAGCAATAAGTTGCTTTGTGGTATTGTGATGGTTCCCATGTTAAGACTGTTCAGCTCAAAAGCAACGCTTTCTCTTACAAGAGACCATCACTGCAGATTTTAAGACCACACTTCTACTATAGAAGTTGCAAATCAATATTATAATTTAAAAACCAATTCACACAAAGTATCGAGTCGCCAACAAAAGTCAACCGTGTTTTCTCTTAGAAAAAGAAAACTTCTCAAACACCACTACATTTTATTTTTACAAAGGATTATCCATATTACCTATGCCCAAAGGTACTTAAAGAACACATCACACTTTTGTACTGTAGTGAGATAATGATGCATCAGACTAATATGTGTCTGCTGGGCTTCTGTATTGTCACCTATATATAATCAATGTGGAACTGGCTGACAGGGCTGTCTCTATTGCAACAGGTCACAATGAAGAAAAGTCAAGCAGGAGGACATGCCCCAACACACAGACTAAACAGAAACCTAAATGTGTTCTCCTTGTCTGTAAGGAGTGGGAAATCCAGTGTGAGTGCGTAGGCAAGCTGGTGAATCACTGCTGTGTGGCAAAGACAACAGAGACAGAGAAAAAGCAAAGAGACATCCAGAGACTGTGGAAGGCCAAACAAGGCCTCTCTCTAAGGCAGATGAGAATGTAATACTAAAGTACATTTATAGGTATATATATATAATAACATTATTTGAGAGAGGTATCTTAGAAGTACATCTTACCTGTCCAGTCGAATTCTCAATGACTTGCACCAATGGGGTCCTTGTTGACATTTTTGAAAGACTTGGGGTTGCCAAAAAGGGGAACGGAGCAGTGAAACAAGAACGATTCTTCAGTGTCTATTGTGCATTTAAAACTTGGGCAGTTGGTGGCAGAGGGAAATTTCCAACAGACATCCAGTGCTAGCCAGCTAGCAGTACGACAAATAGCCCGTGAATCAACAAGTTGAATCCCACATCAGCGGCTAGCCGAGTTAGCCAGCTAGCTAGAAACTAGCTAGCACCAACCGTACGTCCCATGTTTGTCAACAAGCAGCAAAACAGGAAAAAGCAAATGTCTTCTTCAGCTTCGGTCGCGGTGTGAAAACATCCAGTTCCCAATTAGCATTTATCAGCGTCGATGGTGGCCAGCGAGCTAACAACCTGATGCTGTGACGTTTTGGTCAGCTAGCTACTTGGGCTAGCTAGAAGAAAAGTTGGGCAATGGTTGTACTGAACGAGACAAGGTTCAATTAGGTGGCTAACATGCTAACCTGTAAGGTTGCTAACTAACGTCTGAGGAAGCCCCGACTGTCGCCGAAATCTACAACAAATGTACATCCAGCGTCGTTTTCATAACGCAGTTGCGTCGTCTGTCTTTCTCTTTTTGTGTCTGAGACGTTTCCTTTCAGCTTTGAAACCAGGTCCGGGGTCTACAAACTTTCAGGCCAAAGTTATTCCCGGCGAGGTCTCGACCTTCCCAACTCACGCAAAACAATTCAAAATGTTCCCAGCGAGACATCCACGGTAGGGTATCCGAAAGAATAAAAGCAACACCATGTAAAATGGTCACATGGCAGGTGAGAAACACGAATTAATTTGTTGTGCTGGCTCACTGGCTGGCCGATATTAGCCCATGTAGCTAGCTAATTCAGGGTTTCTTCGGAAGCAGAGCTAGCTAGTTAGCTTATCTTCCAGCGGCCGCAGCGGCGGTGACTGCCACAGAGCAACCCACAAAACTCAAAATCCACGGAAATCACCGGCGCTCTTCCTTCTGTTGCGTGATTGGAATAAGGTCGTTCACCACTGCTGCACTGCAGTGAGGCGATATACCAGTTCGTCCTGTCGGTACACCGACTGCTATTATTCCTGTGACCAGCCGACTGAAGGAGGAATCATCAAGTTGTAAAATCCATTATCGGTATACTGGGGTTTTCTTGTTCGGAGGTGCGTGCCACGGGCGACAGGGGGAGAGAGGCGAGGAGCTGCGCCCGAATGCAGTCTATGCGCACGATCCTGCCCTGATACCGGAACAAGCTCGCGGCAACATGGCTGCTTGCACCACGACTGAAGGAGGAGGATTGGAGAGGGAGGGGGGTTCGTTCAGTGTTCGGCTCTACTCGAGTTTTTTCCCGAGCCTTTACTGTTGACCGCGATTCTTCCAGGTTGGTAAATGGCAGGTGCAGTGTCGCCAGGGAAAACTCCTGCATTTCATAGTCCTGCACAGTATCTGCACAATTTCTACAGAATTCATTCACAACTAAGAGACACTCCTGAGGGACTTTTTTGTAAAGTATACACTAGCTTACTAAAGATAAGCCCCCAGGGATTCAAAACCTCTAAATTCACTTGTTTGACAACAATGAAAAACCTGTAGTAAATTTGACATACTGATGTCACATGTAAATAACCAAAAAGCAACAATACTTGTGTAGCATTGCTGTTGCTGGTGGGGTGAGAAATGGTGATGATTCAAGGCGCCAGCAGCTGGAGAGTGCCCACATCTCAGGGGACACAAGAACTATATTCTTACAGGTATGCCAGGATCTCGAACAACACCCCTGCAAAATAGTGTATCTCTGTTGAGAATTGTTTCATTTACAAACATGCACAAACACACATCTTCTTTTTCCTCTCTCTGTATCTCTCTGGAAACTCCTGTTCTGCAGGTGATGTTCACGTGACAGCCTGTCTACAGGAGTTGCCAGATATTTTTACAATGGAGTCACATCCCTGTTTCCTTTCATCTGTCACATACTGAGTTTTTTATTTAAAGCTCAGAGAATTCAGTCCTCTTCACACAATGTTTGAAGCAACCTAAATCATGACACAGGAAAAAAACAGAGAAACAACCAACTTCATTGTTTTTTAGATCCATTCATTAAGCCACAGTGTTACACCACAGTACAAAATGTATGGAGAATACACTGTTGGCCAACAGGGCATGGCTCACTATTTTTGACTGTAAAATAGTGATTATATAATCAAGTGTTACACAAATTCAGTTTTCAATTTATATGAGTTGTTTAGCTTTACAGTGTATTTGATGAAACTTTATTTAAATATGAAATAAAACACAAAAATTGACATTTTCACTCCAGAAACACATGTAACACCCATAATACAACTCAACAAATACATATTTTTGTACACATAACTGAGGGGTCTTTCCAGTTCATAGGGTAGTTTAATCATTACATCATCATTTTCTCCTTCTTTTGTTAACTACAGAGAATTTGGGAGGAAATAATATAATTTTTTCCCAACAATCTCTATTGTTTTATATAATTTAACTGAAGCTTTAGTCAATTATAAATAAATATAATAGAAATAAAGTGTCCTTTGTAAATATGTACCCATGCTATCCATAAGTGTGACTGTAAGGTGCTGACAGCTTGCATAGACATTTTGAAGTTACTTAGCAACAGCCATGGACTGACAAAGATAATATGGCTGCTGTTGGAAGTGGTGGTGTCTGAACTCTGTCAGTCAGGAGGCCTGCAGAGACTAGTCACAATACCAAATATTCACCATTTACACAATGCGAGGATGTTATGGAGAAAATAAAAAAGAAATCAGGAAATGAAGGGGTATGAGAGGCTCGTTAGCAAGGACTGGGAGAGAATCCAACTGGCAGGATTTCCCGATGAATCAAGGGGAAAATCACACCCTGATGATGGAAGGAGTGCACTCAAGGGTCCACACACGGTTACAGGAGACAAACACCTCTGTTTTCAGTGCATAACAGTGTGTTCACCATCATTACTAATCTAGTTACTGTACCAGAGAGAAGCACCAGACCTTTCTTGTGCCTTACCTATCACTATATACTTAAACCAATCCAATTGCACTTTTTCAGTGTGTTGGAGCACGTCCAGTTTGATGGGGGGATAACAGGAGAGTGGATGTCACCCACACTGTGGGTGTAAAAATGAATGAAATACCACAACAAGTCATGTTGTGTCATGATTGATAAGTCATGATTGATAAAATCATGATCACAAAATCGTGATTATGTGAACTCACTGACTACATTTTTCAAGATTTGCTATGAGCTGTTTGAGTGAGTGTGGTTTGTTGCTGGGGCAAAACGTGCTTAAGTGTCGCCATCTGCAGCATGCAGAATATATTACAGTATCTATCATGTGTAACAGACTAGTTCCTCCTGTGAGTTCCATAAATATTTGGATGGATTTTTTTTTGGCTGCCATACTCCTATTTTGCTTTGGTGAAGAAATGACACACTGAGTAGGAGGTTGAACTGCAAACTGTTAATTGCAGCTGATTTGAGGGTATTTTCAGTTTCACTGGATGAACATTAAAAAAACATACCAGCCTTTTTATCTCCTCTCTCCTATTTAAGGCTGCCAAATGTATCTGGCCAGATTGAGACTGCAATAACTGTTGTTTTTAATATGTAGCCAATGATTTCCTCTGTAGAGTCTGGCATCCTGCACACATCACCACACCTTATGTTCTGGTTTTTGCATTTCAGTTCATCTCCACATGACTCCACGTCTAACTCTGTGGCCGTGTGCAGAGCTTGATTACTGTGACATCCAATGAATTAATGAATTAAGACAGCATCCTAATCTTCTGTGATATTGTCACACATATGATTTAAGTGCACTGGAACATGAACCACCCAGCTGTTGCCGCTGACTTCACGTTCAGTGAGCCAGATATTGAACAAAGTCTGAAAGTAATCAAAACAAGTCTAAGTAATTATTCACATTTTGTTAAGCAGAAATGAGCCCAAAATACTTTTTATCCATATTTTCCCAAAAAAATGTGATTTGGTGACATATCTTAAGAATCTGATAATAAAGGCATCTTGTTCATTAATTCACAAATCTTATTTTGGGATTTTCTGGGGAATCCACAAAGAGTTTTGACTTTATTGCCTTCATCTTATTTTCTACATTGTCAGTTTTCTTACTTTATTTATTCATCAATAAAAGTAACTTAAAGTTGAATTCTCACCCTGTTAGTGAATTCATCTTTGGAGATTAACCTACTGGAATTGTAAGTATTTGTAGATATACTGGGGAAGGGGAAATTGACAAAATGTAACTTAATATCCCAATAATGATTTATATAATTTTCTGGAAAATGAATTGAGAAATTGTTAATGGATAAAAAACATTAGGAAGATGTGTTTTTACAGTCTGATCTACTGGCAACTAAGCAGCTTTGCTGCATTAACTGGGGGGTAATGGATGTGCCCTTTCACTTCCTCCATCCAGAATGTGCGGGTCGACTGCAAAGCAGCTCAGCTGATTTGAAAACAGAAATGATGATTTGATAAAAACAAATAAACCCAGATATTTGTGTTAAAGTGGAAAATAAACAAAGAAATAGTAATAGAAATTGGCAAAAAGGCTGAGCCTTTTTAATGGCCTGAGAATCTTTCCTTTACCTGCAGTTTAGCAGGTGCTGACACACAGCGTGGGCAAAATTGGTGAAGAAATTAGAGACAAGGCCAAAAATAGGCTCTTGTACCAACTGTGCTACAATCAGAGTAAGTGCAACATGATGTACGTTAGTAATTAAAGGGCTGAAGACTCTAATATAAAAAAAAAAAATGGTTTCAACCACATTACCTTTAATTATGACAAAAGTAATGAAGACTTACTTTACAGCCCATTAAGAACATTGCATATTTTATGATTTGCAGTGAAAGAATCAAGTGAGAACTCGCACATATCCTCAAGTCTTAAAGGGAAACAGGGAAACTGATTTTGTTTTTGACTGAATATTTTGAGGAAACCAGGCTTCCTTTGCATCACCAGAGGAAATACCACGCAGTAGGTGAAAACAGTATCAACTGATCTCGTCGGTCTGATTTCTAGAAAAATACAAAAATGGCAGAAAATAAATATGTTGTTCTTTGACTCACATTTTTCAAGTCTTTTCCTGGATTTGGACGTCCTTGCTTCTGCTGAGGTGAAGGTCTGGAGGTCACAGTTAATAACTGGCCACAGTTTTGTCCATTCAAGATCTTCTGTCGCAAAGATCATGAACACTGTCATCCTTATATGACGGATTTCACTGAACCTGAATCCTTTATTTATTTATTTTATTGCTTTAATTGTACCAAATATAAGTTTAATAATTATAAATTATAAATTATAATTATAAATAAATAATTTAATATTATTATAACTAAACATACTGGAATCAGCCTAAAAAACGCATCATATGTAAATTTGTAACTAAATATAACCTCCCCATATTGGTGTTTTTATTGAATGATTTCTGTTCTGGGGATGAACAATATATAAACACAGAAACATTATATGTGTCACAGATGCACAGGACCTCCAAAGTAAGTGTCCTCACATTATATAAGTGGGAATTTACTGACTTGTGTGAACCTCCTGGAGCTCTCTGCATGACATAATCCAATGAAAAATATTAAAGTTAAAAACCGGCCACATTCATGACACTATTATCAGCCATTCGGCGGAAACAAAGATAATCCCTCTCGACTCTACTAATCTTTTATTAAAACGTCTCCATTTAGCTCTGGCTCTTTTGAAGACAGCATCAGTTACTCTGCTAGTCTGACATTAGCTAATGTTAGTGTTGAGTTACTGGGCCAACAGGGGTGTTATTAACAGGTCTGTCTGTTTTAAGTGTCAAACCTCATTTAATTTAAATCAGTTTGAAACCACTGACACATCTTAAATGGGTCAATTATTCTGCAAATGGAAAAGGTGGTAGACTGAGTCTAAGTAGCTTTAACCTTCTCTGCATCTTCATAGGAATATTAATGTCCAGAATAACATTATGCATAAGAGACAGTTTAAATATTCAAATGTTTATTAAGTAAAGACAGGAGCCAAAATGGAACAGCACAGTAGCATGAATAGATTTTTAGATCAGTTTGAAGATGATAACTTTCATCACAACAAAAAAACAGTTTATGCATTTGCAGTTATTCAGAGGCAACATATTCCAAATGATCAGGGCTGGT